TCGGACAAAACTTTCCTCGAACGTGCTGCAAATTGACCGAACGACTGAGTCTTTGCCAAATGAGATCTTTATCCATCTTCCGGACCTTTACCATAGGTTGGAGAGAAAGCGTTCCAGCCAAGTGGTGTAAAGTTCTGTACAAGAATATCATACTCAAGCAGGACAATACTGTACATCATGCTGTCAAAAAGATTCGGCACCTGCTTCGAAAAAAATAACCTCGAGAGTGTCCGTTACGTCGCCGAACGAAGATGTACCAGGCTTTTTGGGTTCTAGTGCAGTAAGCTAGTGAGCGGAATAGAGTCTTCTCCGAAAAGACTCATACTTATGTTCTGCTTGCTTTACTATTATGTTATATAAGTTAATTTAACCTCGTTTGCATATTTTATTATGCATTGTAGTATTTGTTTGTACACCGATCTATCTCTCAGGATGTGCCCATCCTGGATTGCTGCTTTTGCGAATCGGGCCAACCGATTGTGTTTCGCAAGGCTACTAATAATTGATATGTTACTAACTAAGTGCAAGTAACGCATCTTTTTATGTTTTAGTATTCCGCCAAGATAGGCACCATAGTATAGCTATTTCGGACTGTTGGCCCTCATCAGCTACGGGCATGTTTAGTGGGTATAAAACATCCATTTTGTACTAATTTTAAATCGGTTACTTGGCAGAAAAAAGGTAAAAGTTCGCCCTTTCTTGACGTCTTTCTTTGTTTATTTTGTCATGAGTAGCATCTTTTACTTAGTCGGTCCGTACTGCGCTATCTAAAGGTCTTATTGCCTACCCTTTTATTGTAATAGTCCTCGTCGCAGCTCCCCCCTTCATTCCTTTTTTTCCTTTTTTGTCTTGGTTCTAGGCTCTTTCAGTCCGCTCGCGAGAGCTGTGGGTCCTCGATTCCCTCGGCCCGGACCCCTCGTCAGTTAAACGGCTTCTTAAACTTCTCAGGTGATTTTACCATTTTCATCCTCCTATCCCCCGCCATCGTTTTTTTTTCAATTGCAACAATCAATCTCCAGACTAAACACCACCCCCATATTCTTTAGTTAACACAGTCACGGGGAAGTGGAGTTTGCATGAACATAGTAGCCAATTGCATTGCCCACGTGCTACTTTTTCGTGTAATGAGGGAGAGTTCTGCAGAATCGAACCTACTCGTCTTCCTAAACTCATGCTCTTCTGATGGCAAGACTAAGTCAAGGCGACAGGCTGTCTGAACCTGAAGACTATTGAGAAAGAGTAAACGCGACCGCTGGAACAAGAAGTTTACTTGCCTAACGTTTCGGATCCTGGCTTGAACCCATCATCGGAGATAACCGCAGAAAAGGGCGATAAAGGCGAAGGTTACGCAGTATTTACAGTCCGTAGCGTTCATGGGACTACATGCGTACTAAAGTTAGCATGAGATGACGTAGTGGCCCGTCTGTTCTCCGAACGGCCAAAGCAAATCGCCGTTCGGAGAATAGACGGGCCACTATGTCATCTCATGCCAACACCGCAAGGCCACATGGTCATGGTTGACACAACGAATCAAAAGACACTTAGGGCATTTGTCGATTTTTTCTGCACGTTTAAATTTTACGGCGGAACCCTGTGCACACACAC